TTGGATTTCCACAACTTGACTCCCTGGATTCCAGCCCATTTTCTCTTTTCCCTAAATCCACCTCACACTGCACATTTGTTTGGGCATTCTGCAGGAAGCAAGTCAAAGAAATTGGCTTGCACACACATTGCACATCCACCCACTGTGCAGGTTGAGTTCTGCTTGTGGACTCTGTGCAAAGAATTACATACTTTGTGCAAAGAAGCTACTGGAGTTCTCGAGCATTTGTGAACTTTAGAACACCTTGCACCCTGGCCAGGGCTGAGTGTGGGAAAGAAGTCTGGTAAACACAAGAGAGCTGAATTCTAGCCTGACCTTTACTTCCCAGCTAATGTAGACCTAGACACTTTTTGACAATAGCTGCTGGGTGACACAATATTAATAAAAATAATCTAATCGAAAGGGCTTGGTATTTTTTTTTTTTTTACTGTTAGGTAAAAAAGTAGATTTTTACTGTCCAGTGTATATTCAATCTGCATCACTCAATAATCCTTAACTCAAACTCTTTCATTAAAGCTACCCCAGACCTTCTTTCACCCTAGCTTTTAAGGGGAACATCTCCATCTTTTGGCATGACTACTAATAAGATTGCTGTGATATTATATACACGAGGCATTTACATTCTTTCATGGTATTTGTGGAAGTGTAACATTTTTGCATTTTACTAGCATGCTTCTTTCTCAGAAGGGTGATTATCTTTCCTCATTTAGTAACTTTTGAAAGTTAGAAAAAGATACCTCTCTGATAGTTTGCTGAAGCTCTGGGAATACTGCAGTTTCTCTGGATAGTTATTTCTTTTCTGGTTGTGTTGGTGGAATGGCTATGGAAGTAATTCTTTTGGATGACAAAGATATAAACACATCTCTTTTTGAAAAGATGCAGGGTCCTCTAATGTTTCTATGCCTGATCATTCCCCTTCTTCCCATTTGGAGTTGATCCCCTGTTGTGAAGGAAAGGCAGATTCCCTATTTGGTGACTCAATTACAAGAGTGTTGCCTGTTGGTCCACTCTGTGGTTATACAGTGTGAGTTGGGAGAACTTTCCCTGGAATCTGCAGGAGAATGCGGAATAGGAATGAGGCTAAGTCCTTCTCCTAAGATTTGGAGGTGAAGTATAAAAATCAGTTGTGCACACATTTATATCTAGCCTGTTCTAGCAGCCTGCTTATCTAAGAAATGATTGATCTAGTAATCTCTTACTCTAACGATGCATTGGGCAAGTACATATCTATCAATTTGAGAAATGTTCATTATTATCAGGTGGTGGCCCCTTATCCCCTTGGTGTGGATTAGAAAAGGTAGAAGTAATGGTGGCATCTTCCTGCTGTGACAAACTGAAATTTCTTTTCAAAATTGCCCACCTAGTTTAGCAGAATTCATAAGTATTCTCACCCATTTGGTAGGTCTGGTATCAGGTTCCCACTGTCCACTTTCATTATCTTCTGAGATCAAATAAAACCCAACCACAGATTTCATGGTGTCTCAGAAGAGAGTAGCATTATCAGTTGACATAAATGTTCCAACTTCCTCAAGTTCAGTATCTTCCTTACAGCTGGCTTGGGAATTTCCTTCTCTATTACCCTGGCATGTGGTATGAACTGGCATGACGGTTATCTTGGTTGAAATTTATAAACTTGGGTATTGTCAACAAAAGCATGCTCCTTGTGGGAGGTGAGAATGCTTGTGCTCTTTGTTTGATGCAGTTTCCTGACTATCCTTAAATGAATAACCGCTCTGTGTTTAATTGCACCTTTGGGGTTTGACTTCTTCACTGATGGTAAAAACAGGCAAGGAGGAACATGGGACCAATTGTGTACATGAAAATCTGTTACTACTTCTCAGCTTTTCCTTGTGTGATACCGGGAGTAATCCATTGTGGTGATGCCTTCCTCATACCAATGTAAAGAATAGTAGACTCAAATGAAACTGGCAAAGTTTCCCTAATATGGGCCTCAGTAGTAGGACATCTCTTGCCCCTGCTGCACAGTTCTGGCAGAGCCCTCCAGCAGTATCTAGTGCTACTTCTTGGCTAAGGAAGTAGTATATCAGGAATTGGTATGGCATGCCTTAGCTTGGTTGCTACAGTGTATATGTGGTGTCAGGAGATTGTTTATAACAATTACAGGCATAGGTTAAGGAGACTCACTTTATATGTTGTAGAATTGAGGGACTAGGAGACTCACTTTATATGTTGTAGAATTGAGGGACTAGGAGACTCACTTTATATGTTGTAGAATTGAGGGACTAAGTCCTGTCCTTTCTTGGCCATCTGACTGGCTTTAGCTACAGGGTCAATGTGTCAGAAGGGCTGCAGCAAGACTCTGGAGACCAAAGCACAAGATCCCTTGATGGAGTTGTTTATATAAACAGAATGCATACTAAAAGGTGTTACAGAATTTTGTATACAGCACTAAGCCAAATACATCAACTTATCACTGCAGTAACTGATAGCATGTTTCACCTTTTCTTGTCAATACCTGTTTCATATTCTGTACTTTAATCTCTTCTTTCCCTTTCCTGTGCCAAGTGAGTTTTCTTATTATGATTACAAATGTAAGATTTATATTGCAGCAAAGGAGTTGTAAAGAATCCCTAATGTCACAGTGATGTCATCTACCATTTATCTATTGTGGCAGCTCATTTTCCATAGTAACATGAAAGTACAATATCTCAGATCCAGCAACATAAATATGAACAATGGACTCCACGGCAACATATTTAACAAATCAACTTAACATTTCCTCAATTTTATATTGCTCTTTGTACTTGATAGTATTCTGGCACATTTTTTTCATTTTATACTGAAAATCAGTTTGAACGCCTTCTCCTTTCTGAATGCCTCCTTTTCCCAATTAAGTTACCTTGTTCACTGGCATTCATCAGCAAGACACCTATATTCTTCTTCATCAGCTTGAACAGCTTAACACCGTACACAAACAGAAAGCATTGCAGAGAAGCAACTCCAAAGGGGTGTCACATCACCAATGAGCATGAATTACACGATTTCCCTCCCCAGAAAGGGATCACCAATTCAATCTCTAGATTGTGAAATTAAAGTTTGATCCTGTCACAGCTGTATTTGGTTTTCCAGATAATTGACTTTGAATCAAGGAACTAAAAAGTGCAACATGTAGAAGTTGGAGAATTATTACTTGATCTCTAAATCCAATTCTGTTGGTAGCTGGGGTTACCTAACAATCTTGTAGCAATCTCAACAGCATGCTTCATAGTGCTCAAATCCTATAATCTAAATGGTAGAGATTAAGCTGTTTCTGTTTTTTTAATGTCTACAATGTAGTAAGTTTACAGTAAAAGTTTTTCTAATTGGAAATACTATAGTGGCTACTTGGTTTAAACTGTACTATTAAATTATTATGGATATATTTCCCCAATCACAAATGAATCATGCTGTTGTTTTACATATAAATCCAATCACATGCCCCTGGGAGTGTGTTCCTACAACAACACAAAACATAACAAGTTAATGTAGATTAAAACAAAACAAAACATACAACCATAAATAGGGAAGACATTTGCATGCAAAGACCATATTAGAAAGGGAAAGGAAAGACACCCAAACCTCATGAACCACACAAAAGCAAGATGCAAGAGAGACCATGGGAAATTTTTCTACTGGAAAAGAAAGCTGATTCTCACCGTTCTGAACAAAATGGCTGAACTAAGAGCATCAGATTGGCTATGCCCAAATACCCTCTTCCTCATCCTATTGGTTGACAGAAGACAAGGGGGAAAAGCCCCAGAGCAGCATGGGAATGAAATAAAGAGTTGGTTAGTATTTAAACCACACAAAAGAATAACGCTGTAGTGGTAGGAAAAAGTAGCCACTAATTCCTTGTAATTTCTGTTTGGTTATTTTCAACTACTTTGAATCATTAGAATTATTCTGAGGCATTTAATTTATTATATTTAAACATGCTTAAAGTATATTTAATCTAATCCTGTGAAAAAATGTCTTTGTAGTATGTCACATCTGACAGTTGTCATCTTAAACAATTACCACCTTGTGTTTCAACCATATTACCCATGAGGAAGGTACCTTAACTGCCTTTTGCTGTGCAAAACAAATATCCTTCTGTACTCCAGGAAACTGAGAAATGCAGTACATTGTTTTAATTTGTAACATCAATGCTGCTCCATCATAAGAAATGTTAGGGCTGACACCTCTTAATAATAGTATGGAAGTTTTGATCTACTGATTGGCTTATTCTTAATTTTAAAGCTCAACATGAAAAGAAGTAGTTAGGAGAGTACATTTACAAGTGATCCTTCATTTTTTACTCTAGCACTTTGTAATTCTGAAGAAAGCACTCTCAATATGCCATGCCTCTCTTAGCTTCTCCCTTCAATATAAAACACTTTTTTGGGGCTTCTATTTTTTATTTCACTCCATAATCATTCCACAGCACAGGTTTACAGTTTTACATGAAAGGGATAGGAAGTAGCCCCTCCAAATCCAAAGTATGCTTGGTTTTAGAATTAAAAGGGAATGGGAAAAGCTATGAGCTATTTTCTAACTGGCTAATTTTCTCATGTTATCTATATTGCTTGGTAAGCCTTTTGATGCCTTCCAAAGCATATCTCAGTTTAGTAAGCATTAGAAATGATAAATTGATTCTGTTTAGGTCAAGCTTCATTGGGTTTGTGAGGGAAAAGTCTGTGACAGGCCACATTAATAAGGTCATGAATTTGGATGACCATTTAAGTTTCCATAGGAAGACATAATTTAAAATGCTCTTCATTGGAGTTACCACAAGAACAACAGGTCAATTAAACTTCTCCAGGAAAAATGACATTTGGAATACTGAAATTAATTATTTGCTAAATGGGAATTCTAATTTTAGAGAATTCCCTGTGATAGCTACAGCAAGGTAGTTTTTTGAACCCCATTTGGAAAGAGCTGCTTTGGGTCCCAGATATTGTACATGAGTGCACACTTCAGAAAATGAAGACACCTTTAAAAATAACAGAAAACAAACTTACCTGATCTGGAGAGGGTTTATGATTAATTTGGTTGGAATGGGACAATGATTTGAGGTGGTCGTCCTCATAATTATCTGCCATCAATTTCATGCGGTTTTGAGTCTACAAGAGATATGAAACAAGAACACTAATTATTTAGTTTCTAAATTATAAAATTTTTTGCACTATATATTAAACAAAACAAGAGGAGAGGGACAGACCTTTCCTTTTAAGTACTGATCATGGCTGGAGCAGTAACTGGCTAAAGAACAGAAAACATGAGTAAAAATGAATGCTAAATGGAAGGATATAAACAGTGGAGTCACACAGGGATTTGTACTGCATGCAATACTTTTTAACTTATTCAGAAATGATCTGAAATTAATAGTGAGCAGTGAAGTGACCAGGTTTGCTGATGATATCTATTTTCCATGGTGAAACCACAAAGAGAGATACAAAACAATCTCTCCAAACTGAAAGAATGGGCATCAAGCTGACAAATTCTGTTCAGTCTAAGCAAATATAAAGTATGATATGTTGGGAAAAGAGAAGTATAAGTTGATGGGAGCTAAGCGAATGATGACTGACCAAAAGGATATCCTAGGATTGTGGCAGACAGCTAGATGAAAATGTTGACCTAGTGTACAGCTGCTGTGAGAAAGACAAGACCCAAGTCAGACACAATTGGGAAACAAACTGAAAATCAAATTGCGAGCATCACACTGTTTTTATGCAAATCTATGGTGGGAGTGCACTTAGAATAGTGTATACAGTTCCAATCACTGCACTAAAAGGGATATTGCTGAGTTGGAAAATGTGCAGAAAGGGGCAACTAGAATGACCAGGGGTCTGGAGCATTCTCCTGTGAGGAAAAGTTCAAAATGATATGCATGGTAGCTGTGGTCACACGCAGAAGATTTGGCTTATTGTAGACTGTTCACCCCTCCGGTACCAGCAGTCCTCCAGCTGCGTCCAGCATGTATCCCTTCTTAAAAGAACCTGCCTTGTCTCCCCCTCCTTCCTCTACGTACTACCACTTTTTTGTTCACTGTTTTTTTTTTTTTTTTGAGAGACAGCCCCAAAAATGCACAACTGGGTTGCCTTTCTTTCTATTTTTTCAGCTCCTGAAAACTGTGGAACAAAGTTTATAATTTTAACATTTTTGTTAGCGTTTCACAAGTGCATTCTTACAGTATCCTTTCTGTATCCTGTACAGTATTCTTACAGTATTTGTACTCTTGTCTTGTCCATCTCCCTGTTTCAGCTGTTCCAGGGAGTGTCAAAGTGGGGTAAGTAACTGACTGACAAAGTAAAACTGCATACAGGCTAATTTATGCACAGGTACCAGGAATTGAAAAGTACTGGTACCTGTGCATAAATTACATTTGTGTACATCTTATTGATTTTGAAAAATGTGTCAGGGAATCCAAATTTAGATGCTTCTGGCAAGCTATTGGGTCACACATTTCTCTTGTTATTTCTCTCCTGGTCCTTTGAAAAGGTGTGCAAATTCGCTGATAGGCAACTTCATCATGTCAATACTTTTACTGGCTAAAACCTGACAAAATAAATAAAAACGTACATTTTAAAGTACCAAAAATATAAAACTTGAGGAAGAAATCATTGCCTTTTGCAAAAAATGAGTAGCATGCTTCCTGCTCCCCGACTCTTGTAAAGTGGCTCTGTCACCAGTTACAGCAGCCCATGATAAATTGGTCTCTCAGGTTTTCTTGACACTACAACTTATGATGGGCAAGAATATGCTTATAACAAGTGACGGGATCTCTGCATGCCTTCTTTCTGAAAAATAAGTCATCTTCAAGTGCAGTCCTATGCATGTTTAGGCAGAAAAAGTACTACAATTTCTAGCAGGGGCATATTAGAAGTTGTAGCCCCTTTTCTCTCTAAACATGCATAGAGTTGTACCTTAGGATAGCTTCACAGAACCTGGCCATCAATAAGGGAAGTAAGTGCTTGTACTTGGACTAATGTCATGGTATTAAATTGGGATTATTAGTTTGAAGCTCGACCAGTATGAGAGTGGTAGGTTTCCAGTTTCTCTATATCAAAAATGTTTTGCTATGCTTCCTGTCTTCAATCAGCTTCAGTTAGTATGTATTATGTCTATGTGTCTATTATAGAGCCTCCTAAATCTTACAAACTAATCATCAGATGTGACGTGTTCTTTTGATCTTGAATTACAGCTTGTTGCCTCACTGGACACTTAACTAGTGTGAAATAAAGATATACCATTGTGGTAGACACTGTCAGATTTCAGTTCTTGTTTACAAAGCCGAGAAATAAAAGAAAAACACCTGCTGTATCTGTGGCTGAGCACTCTTAGATGTGGTAGTATGATGCCGCAGTTGACACAAAGAATTCCTTCAAAAGGGTTAGCCATAAGCATTTCTTTAAAAAAAAGATACAGCTGGGGGAAGCCCAAATCACAAAACTTTAAATTAAGGGAATGTGTTATTTCATGCTCTTGCAAAGTAAATGACTGGAATGATAGTACGGGAAATAAGGACAGCTATTGGAAAACACTTTGATAAGGTTCCAGAACAGCAAGGAAACATGGGAAGTATTTTACTGGAACTACAAACTTGTGGTATGACATAAGCCATGTATAGCTGTGCAGGGGGTGCCCTTGCAGTGATGTCTGGAGCTTTAGTGGCTACTGCTTCAAAAATAGTGAAGGTTACTTATGTCTTTGTATGATGTATCCTAATACACGCACAAACACACAATTATCTGGATGCTAAATTTGCAGCAAGGGTTCCATAAAATCATAGGTGCAATGAAAAGAATTCCTGTGCAACAGACTTTTAAAGAATTTCTATGACACCTGATAAGCCTGTCTTTCTGTGAGATGCCCTTGACAGATAAACTATTTATGAACATTAGAGATTTATCCAACCTTAAAAGCAGCTACCTCCCTGACACAGCTGCCTACATTACACCGCCATACAAGAAGCTTTGTATTTGAAACCATTGGAAAGTGCAGAAAGAAACGGTCAAAGAAGAAATTATTCCTTGCCTGATTACTACCCATGACTTCATGTTGCTCCTAGAGTGCAAGTCTGGGACTCAAGCAATCTGGGTTCTAGTCTCTGCTCTGCCATGGTACCAACTGGGTGACTCTGGGCCAGTCAGACTCTCAGCCTGGCCCCACAGGGTTGTTCCTGTGAGGATAAGACTGAGAGTAAAAGGAGAAGAATGATGTAGAGCCACTTGAGTTCTTTTTTTAAAAAAGCAGGATATAAATCTAATAAACATAAACAAACAAACAATACTGTTGCTCATGTACTTCAAAGTCATGAACAAAGCTATTTCATCTCTAAAATGGATGCTTTTAAACAGACTATGTCCAGAAACTTTTAGAGAATTTGGTAAAGAAATAGGTAGATAAGCTTTCAGGGCTGTTTGTATAGCATATTCATATGATGGCAATTGAGGGGAATAAGATCTGTACTCCTGACCCAACGAGTGAACTTCTTCAGAAATATCTGAAGAAACTGACATTACAGGTGTGAACGCCTTTCAACCCAACAATCCCAAAATACAAACTGTGAACTACAATGCTATCCCAAAATCAGATATGGCTATGATTACAGTGTACAACCACGGCACTATGGAGTGAGATGTCTGATTACTGAATCAGATTATATATAACTATAGATCTTATAGTAGGATAAATCATTGGATTTTCTTTCATATACTCACAATATCAAATTTTAAACTAATTGCCAGGATACTTCTTATTTTTTTTTGAATTTTTTTTTTCAGAAAAGTGTGAGAAACTGCTGAAGTAAGGGATTCCGAAAAACACATGTCAAGAAGATCTAAACAGCACTAAAATTAATGATGTGTCAGTAAAGTTGCCTATAATTTCAATTTCCTCATCTGGAGTTTCTAGCACTAAGTAAATTACTGTAATGAAAATAGGCAATTTGGATCCAAAACACAGGGTATTTTGCCAACTGAAGGAAAGCTGAGAAGTGCAGCTCAGCTTGCAGGTAGAGGTTTTAAGATACAATTCAGCTGTCACACATACTTCAATGATAGGAAGCATATACAAAAATATGGGCCACTGCTGTAGCTATAATGTCATGTATCTAAACTTACATCTAGTATGAGGCAAAACAATAATGTAAGATGATGAAAATTTATAGTAATGATTAAATAGCTGCCTGTGGTACATAATCAGTGCTAACATAGTGAATGGAGCTGGGAAAATTCATGATTAAAATTTATGAAACTCAGCTCAGTTTCACCTCTCCTGGATAGTTTAAAGCTGGCCCCCATAACCTGGGGCACAGCTATCCAAACATAGTCCATTAGCTATGTATGGAGGCAGTGTCAGCACCAGGGTTGGGGAGACCTTTGTGTGGCCTGAATTGAACTCCTTGCCTTTGCCACCAATGTCTATTTAATTTTTCTCTCCCCCTTGGTCCAGTCTGCTACCTTCCCAGAAAGAGAGGGCAAAGTAAGTGGATAGTGCTGCTCTTGTCACAGCTCACCTAACTGTAGCTGTAACTTGGAGAGGGCAGGTGAACAGGCAGAGCTATTTAGAACGAAAAGGCAGAGGGCACCTACTAGGATACAGGGTCTTAAAGAATGCCCAAAAGTGCCAAATCCTGAGACCAGCTTTATATGGTGGTGATCTAGGGGCTAAATGAGTCTGTTTATGTTTTCCATGGCTGTAAAAATTGGAGGTAATGTCAAGCACGTTACAAGGGATAATGCATGCATAGAAGACTATTTTTGGTTTGGTGTGCCACAAGCTGTGCTTATTTGATTTTGGGTTGGGTAAAACCCTAACCTTTGTCTTCCATATGTAAAGTGGAATTGCACCAACCAATTTAACAGTTATGCAAGTTATGAAGACTTGCATTCCAGGGCTGTCCACTTGAAACTGCTATTTAAATATTGATTGAGGCTGCCATCAGATACTTTAAAGGCAGACTAGTTTGTCTAATGAAACTTCATTAACAACACTGGAGGAAGTGACAATTACTTAGAGACGTGAGAAAAACTTTGTCATAAAAGTATGGTGAAGTGGTTTCAGACAATTAAAACCATTTTGTATCATCTCTCATACCACACCCCAAAAAAGGATGCCT